CACCCCATCTCTCTCGTTATGAAAGACCAGAATCCAACACAGAGGGAAGTCAGGGAACAGTGGTGCCAGGGACCCTCAGAGTTACTTGCAGCTCTGTCATTAGTCACGGCTACCCCCCTGGGGGCTTTGCTGTGCGTGCGTGCGACACAAAGGTCCCCCGTGTAGTCTCAACAGACTGCTGGGGCAAGTGCTGTTAGTAGCGAGTAGTAGCAGCACCTATGAAGGTAGACACAGACAAAGGTCCCCCGTGTAGCCTCACCAACTTTCGGGGCAAGTGCTGTTAGTAGCGAGTAGCAGCAGCACCTATGAAGGTATACACAGACAAAGGTCTCCCGTGTAGCCTCAACAGACTGCTGGGGCAAGTGCTGTTAGTAGCGAGTAGCAGCAGCACCTGTGAAGGTAGACACAGACAAAGGTCCCCCGTGTAGCCTCAACAGACTGCTGGGGCAAGCAAGCAAGCAAGTGAACTTAATATAAAGGATTTAAAAAGATCACCGTACATACACCCCACCTCCCATTAGCACGGCGTGGCTGAAGAAGTACACTAATTGACGCGTTGTTTATGCGAAATCATTTGGGTGTGGCCCTGCCAAGGCAATCGCTGGCGGGACTCTAAATTCAATAAATCTTGGAGCAAACCTGGAAAAGCAGTTGTGAGCAGCAGCAACATCGTCAATACCGGCTAATATCACCACCATGCCTCGCCAAAGAGAAACAGTTCCAGCCATCGCATTCGGGAGCGAGTTAATTAAATGTTTGTCCAAATATAACGAGGCTAACTTTCAAGTTGATAATTTCGCTTGGCCCGCGAATGATGTTATATTAATATCCAAATGGCCCTTAGCTGCGTCGGGTGTGGAGGGGCCATGACGCAATTTGTACTCACGCGATCTAACAACAACAACCTTTTTAATGTATGAGGAGCACGGTTTTCTTAAAGTTTATTTTAAAACCAGGACGTGTGCCAATCCCCAGGGCAATTAAAAATAGTCGTCGACCTGAGCACTCCATTATCTCTAAATTATTTAGCCAGTGGCCACAAAATATCATTTTGCAACATCGAGCGCGAGACACACTGACGCACCAAAACAAAGACAAAGACCCCCCGTATAGCCTGTCACAGGCTGTTGGGGCAAGTGCTGTCGTTGGCACACAAAGACAAAGATCCCCCGTATAGCCTGTCACAGACTGTTGGGGCAAGTGCTGTTAGCAAGCACCTATGAAGGCCGGCACGACACACGAGGGGGTGGGTGGCCAGCACCACACCCGGCCGCCTTTGTCTCCCCAGTGGCGATGTCTACACATAGCACCAGGTACTCATTTCAGGCTGAGTCGACCTAGGGGAGGCCCATGACCGGTCCAGATAATCGTCACCGGTGTTTTGGCCGTGAGCGGGAATCGAACCCGTGTCGCCGGGTTCGTAGCGCAGCGTAGCGCTAACCGCTGCACCACCGCTCCCCACACACTGTGATACAAGGCCTACATTGTGTTTTTTCTGTCTGTCTCCCCACGCTCTCTCCGTCTCACCCTCTGTCTGTCTCTCTGTCTGTCTGCCCGCGAGGGGTGGGTGTGCAAAACAAGAGTTGAGAATCACCTTTAAAGCCCCCCCCCTCCCCACCACCGGCAAATCTTTACACAGACAAAAGATCCTCCTAACCCTTCCCCTCCACCACCGTGACCTACAAGAGCTTCCAAAAAACGTTGGGAGCAAGTGCTGCTGTTAGGCAGCATATAAGTGTAGTGGTGTTAACTACTCGCTGTTGGCAAACTGTGAGAGAGCAGATCGTAAACAAGGGTTTCCCGCTCAATCAAACGGTCAGGGTCAAATGGGGAGAGGTAGGAACCAACCCCAGATTGGGAAGGATCAATCAGAGGGTCCCACAAGGTGGCCGGGGATTGGACAACCCGGCCACGAACAGGTATAAAAGCCAGAGCGCTGAGAGCTCTGGAGGAGTTCTGCTACACGAAGACCCAAGACGGCCGAAGACATCTAGGACCCTGGACCAAGCCCTCCAGCTCTTATCAGGGCTAGGGCTCAGAGTAACCAGTGGTCGGGGAGAGATCCCCTAGGTCCAGCCAGAGGACGCTGGGAGAGCAGGGAAATTAGACAGCCTGCAAGGTCCGGAGGCTTGTACCTTCTGAGGGTAACGGGTGAGGGGACCATATACCTCTTAGTGTGATAGGGACTGTGTGTTAAGATAATAAACAGTGTGTGCCATAAAGAAGTTTAGGAGTCTGTCCTTACAACACTACACATGTACAGGGCAACATTGAGACAACCAACAACCGCCATTCGCCACTAAGTGGTGGTGACGCCACCACGACACTTGTGCCAGGCTATGTGCACCTTGAGGCTACGTGAAGTGTCGAACGCCCGCTGGCAAGAGGAGGTCACGGGGCAGACTCAGCAGGTGCCATGGGTTGGCTGACTGAGATGACCGGGAGATGCACCACCAGCTGTACCTCCCTACTGTACCAGGCTAGGTGCATGAGGGGGTCTCGGGACAGACCCTGCAGGTGCCATGGGTTGGCTGACTGAGATGACCGGGAGATGCACCACCAGCTGTACCTCCCTACTGTGCCAGACTAGGTGCAGGAGGAGATCACGGGGCAGACCCAGCAGGTGCCATGGGTTCGCTGACTGAGATGACCGGTAGATGCACCACCAGCTGTACCTCTCTACTGTGCCAGGCTAGGTGCAGGGGGAGGTCACGAGACAGACCCAGCAGGTAGTGCGTGGGAAGCAATAACGCTCCCTGCTGCAGCCCACTCTGAACCGCCACCACTAAGAATGCCATCCACCTCCTGTGTATGAGCCATGCTGTTTTACTAGGGCACCCAGTGGCGTAGAATAGTTGGCACGGGCCCCGGTGCATATGCGAATGAAACCTCGGTAGAGAATGTACAAATGAAAAGATATTTTTTTACAAGCACCATTCAATGCGTGTATCTTGAGCTTGAGAACCGGTATTGATCTTTACAAAGTATATCATTTAACTTGCAATGAATGCAGAGGTGGAGCGATCCGATCAACTCGTGTGCAGAAATGGGGGTGGACTTGCATTGCGAGAGCTTGCGGGCTGGTGATGACTTGGGGAGACCATCATCAGCCATAATCTGTCCTGCTGGATGAAGGAATCTGCACACCATTCCCATCAGCAGTGGATAGATTGTGGCTCATGATGGCAAGGGGGAGCCCTTCATCCAGCAGCGAATAGATGATGGTTGGTGGTGATGAGGATAACTGCAGCAGAATTATCCGACCGTTGCAGCTGTAGAAGTGGATACAAAGGTCAGGATCATTTATTTATTTTCACCTTGTTTCAAACGATATTGCACGTCGGATGGATGCCGTCATTTTGCGCGACCCCTTTTAATGCCGCCTCTCGTGACACTTTTCTGCCGCAGTGTGGCCTAGCCCGAAAAATGTGAAAGTTATTTTTATGGAAACATTGAACCCATGCCACGTCTCATACCTGTGATGAGCCTCGGTATTGCGATCATCCGAATTATCACGTCGGTGGGTGGATTGCCCCTTTTTCCTCTCATAAGCCACATGGCCCATTATTTCATGGGGTTGGCCGCTCGGATGATAGTCCATGTACTTCTATTCTGTGATTCTCGAAATACCTCTACTATCCTTAAATAGAGTTGCATTCACTTACAAATCATAGACTTTCACAGAGACCCATAGACTCGCATAAGGTCAGCTGCTCATATAGTCTCAGTCTTCTTTCTCCGTTCTATTCTTTGCCTCTTATCTACTCGCATTCACAATCTTCGGCATCACGTTCCACCACATTCTTCCATCTCACCCTCGGTCTCTCCTCCTCATGCCCTGCACTGCTGGCATTTCCATAGTCCTCCACGTTGCATCTTATTTGTCTCTTCTCAACACGTGCCCCATCCATCTAATTCTGACTTCTCATCGTCTCGCGAATATGTCACCCCTGCGGTTTTCACCGTTTTATTTTCTATTGCTCGTTAAATCAACACCGTTAAAGTAGGCGAAGAATTATCGACTTGCACAGCTCACGCTGGCTTTAATTGGGTCCACGCTTTCACACCCTCAGCACCCCTATTGTTTTATATTTAGAAAGTCAGGCGCATTACGAGCTGATCCGCTGATCCGCGCGTGATTGGTAAGCCTCAGCGTTGCCCCGGTTCGGGAATAAGTCTGTAAACATCCAACCGCGTTAATTTTAAACGGCTCACGCTCTCCGCCTGCACAGATGGCTCCTCCCGTGAATGTCGGTGGCTAACAAAGCCGTTTGGAATAAATGCGACGAATTAAATCGCCCTCTTAAAAAATAAAATGGCCTCTCTCGTCTTTCCCACCGTCAACTCTTCTTTTTATCCGCACCGCCAACTTCACCAATGCCCTGTTATGTGCATTGTGTATCCAGTTATCAGTACTTTATCTCACTTATGTGTGTATATGAGGAATTATCTGGAAGTTGTAACCAACTAATTCTGCTCATATTTGGGCCAGTCGACAGTCCATCATTCACCCTTTTGTACGGGCCAAGTCACTGATAAGGGATAATTTGGGGATAAGTACCTCCTGAAGTGGGTACATATATGTTCAACTATCTATACTCGAGTGCAGCGAGAGAGAGCAACCTGACAGTGGTGACAATTTACCCGATTTATTTTTCATTTGTTTGGCAGGCTAAGTAACTCGGCAGTGCTGAAAAATTCACCCTCTCTGAGCACCTGCACACGCCTTCAGAGGAGCAAAATGCTCCTCTGAAGGCGTTACTCCAACCGAGGTTGGAACCCTCGTGTTAACGCTTTATTGGCGGACTGTTATTATGTAGAGTATATAGAGCACCGCAAATACGTCATTTCAAACCACGTGGTTTCTTTTATTTGAACGCAACTTTGAACAGGGCGAGGGTCTAAGCAAACAAACAGGAGAGAGGGGCACCATCGGTCGACTCGCCACCCACATGCCGGCCGTGGCAAGGACGCTGTCCCTGCTGCCGTCGCCGCTCCACTCAACGGATGCCGAAACGGCGAAGGAGGTGGCTTCAACCGCACAACACAAACGCAGCAGAGAAACGGCTTCAACTCTACAAAAACACTACCACCCACCATGATCATCATCATCATCATGATGCGGCTGCTAGCTGCTGCCATTATACAGCAGCAGCAGCATCTGGCAGCATCTGGCATCCCACAGTAGCCCCACAGGCGGATGGGTTGCGAATTTAAATCCTGGTTGTACAAAACAAAAGCAGTGGTGCATTTTGACGGTCAGCAGGTAAAGTCCCCCACTGAGCTGCTGCTGCTACTACCTTCTGATGATGACCACGACGACGATAACTAAAGCAATTTAGCCAAATTATCCTCAGTTTAACACGTAGGCTTTCGCGACCAATGTTATTCATAATCAACGATTTTTGGGTTTAGATCGCGTTTATTTATAAATGTGTCGTAACCCTCCACCACCCGACACGGCCAATCAGTAAAAATGTGTCACGTTGACAAAGACAAATAGTTCACTGCTTTAGCCCACCGGTGTGTTGAAGCAACAACATTTACAATTTGAGTACGACGTTTCGCTGGTAATTGCAACCAGCATCATCGGGCAATTCGCCAGAATGGTGAGGCTCTCCTGTGTCTCCCGTTCTTATATAGAGCAGCAGCAGGGTGACGTCATCATTAACTCATTAACTCATCAGGTGCAAAGATTCAAGGGGGGAGTGATTGTAATTATATACTAGATTAGTAATCAGGCTATTGTTACGATGCGAGTTGTAGATTAGTAATCATTTGGAATGTGTTTTATTGTGATTATGCTACATTAGTAATCAGTTAGTGGTTGTTTCCCTTATAAGTAATTGTAATGTATCTTATTTAATAATACGCTTCCAGGCCGCACTAAGCTTATAGCTGTCTGAGCGATTAAAGTTAACAGGGACACTCAATTGATTTTGACAACGTGGAAGTGTTGTGTAAAACTAGTTACTACTGGCAAAGACTAATTAGAGAATCGATTGAAATTGAGAGAAACAGAAATAACTTTAATCGCTCAGACAGCTATAGGCTTAGTGCGGCCTGGAAGCGTATTATTAAATAAGATACATTACAATTACTTATAAGGGAAACAACCACTAACTGATTACTAATGTAGCATAATCACAATAAAACACATTCCAAATGATTACTAATCTACAACTCGCATCGTAACAATAGCCTGATTACTAATCTAGTATATAATTACAATCACTCCCCCCTTGAATCTTTGCACCTGATGAGTTAATGAGTTAATGATGACGTCACCCTGCTGCTGCTGTATATAAGAACGGGAGACACAGGAGAGCCTCACCATTCTGGCGAATTGCCCGATGATGCTGGTTGCAATTACCAGCGAAACGTCGTACTCAAATTGTAAATGTTGTTGCTTCAACACACCGGTGGGCTAAAGCAGTGAACTATTTGTCTTTGTCAACGTGACACATTTTTACTGATTGGCCATGTCGGGTGGTGGAGGGTTACGACACATTTATAAATAAACGCGATCTAAACCCAAATTATCCTGTTGAAATAGAACTTGCCGATGGTCTAGTGACAACGTGACTGCGTTGTTGCAGGTTAACGCTGCCACCGTGACGACGGCCTGGCGACAACGTAACCGCCATTGCCACGCGATACCAGGCAGGGCGTCTTCCCCCACGACAGCGCTTTACGAGCCCCGGTCGAACCGCGGAGCGCCGTCATCGACGTCAGTGACGTCCACGGTCACCACGGTGACGGCGCTGGGCGAGGCGGCGGTGTCGTCGCCGGCGGCGGCCGCCCACACCGTCAGGTAGTGGTGGCGGCGCTTCTCGTAGTCCAGGGCCTTCGCCACGACGCTTATCACGCCTGGGTACACGCACACCACGGCACACACAGCACACGTCTCTGCCTGAGTCTACGAGAGACACGGCGGACAGGGGACCTTCCACGACCCGAGGGGGCCGCTGTCTGTGCCCCGTGCTGCGTCTCTCACCGAGCTTCCGGTCGACGTCGAATGCCCTGAGCTCGTTGCCGCTGGCGATTCCGTAGCTCACCGCGCCCCCCCCGCTCAAGACGGCCTCCACGGCAATGACCGCGGTGCCCGGTGCCGCGTCCTCTGGCATGGCGGCGCGGTAGGCCAGCTGCCGGAATGCCGGGGCGGCGGCAACGCCACGGTCGTCGTCGTGGAGGGACACGGAAATCACGGCGGTGGTGGGGGGCGGCATCAGCGAGACTCCTCCACCGCTGCGGGCCTGCACCGTGAGGTTGTAGACGGCACGGCGCTCCAGCAGACGCTTGACGGTGATGATGCCCGAGCGGCCGTCGATGGCAAAGCGGTCGCCGGCAGAGTTCAGCAGAGAGTGAGTGACCCTGCGGTGGGGGCCTAAGAACACACACATCAAGCGCCAGTCTCCACTAAGTGGCAGTGATGTCACCACGGCACTTGTGCCAAGCAAGCTAGGTGCACGTTGAGGACACGTGAAGTGTCGAACTCCCGTCGGCAGGAGGTCACGGGGCAGACCCAGCTGGGTCTGTCTACAGGAAAGCCACCCACATAGATTCCTACTTGAAACCTGATTCCCACCACCACCCATCTCAAAAGAATTCTCTCATCAAAACGCTATACCACAGAGCTCATGGCATTTCTGACCAACACCATCTGGACAGTGAATTAAGACATGTGCATCGGGCCCTCAGGATGAAAGGATACTCTGACCGCACCATCCGCCAAGCTGTTTCTCCCACCATACAGAAACAGCCACATGAAACTCCGATCAAAACCATCACGTTGCCATACATAGCAGGCGTGACCAAAAAGATCTACAAAATTCTAAACAAACATAAGATCCAAGTCCGATTCAGTACAGTACATAAAATCCGTGATCTAATTCCATTTGTGAAAGATGTAATTCCGAGTTACAATACCCTGGAGTCTACAAACTGAGTTGCATTTGTGGTGATTGCTACATTGGAGAAACGAAACGTCATATCTCTGATCGTGTCCGCGAGCACAAGTCAGATCTGAAACACGGCAAAACTGATTCTTCCGCCGTTGCCGATCATTGCTACAACTCGGTGGGCTCTCATGAAATTGTCTTTTCCGAGACCAAGGTGCTCTGCAAACCTCCTGGCTACCATCAAGGGTTTTTACACGAAGCCATCCAAATATACAAACACAGACATAATTTCAACCGTGATGATGGGTACAAACTTAGTAATCATTGGAAATATGTTATTAACCATGTAAAAAATATTTAACTACACATATTTGGACCATCTTATTTGACAGGCACTATTCTTCAGTTACCATATAGTTTCTTCTTCTTTTTTCACGCACTGGTTTTCCTACTTTAAGTTTTACCACACATATTTGGCAAATCTAGAATTAATCCCAGCAATGTAGCAAAGTGCTGTTTCATCTACATAACAAAGGCTCAGTCCCATTCACAGCAGCCGCACCTTTACATCAGCCACACCTTAACAACTCTTAGAACCTCCCAGTTCAACCAGTCTACACAACAAAGACTCATTCCTGGCAGCGGTTTCAGCCGCACCACCTCTACATAACAAAAGGCTCAGTCCCATTTACACGCACCTTTACATCAGCCGCACCTTAACAACTCTTGGAACTTCCGAGTTCAACCAGTCTACACAACAAAGGCTCATTCCTAACAGCGTGCCTCAGCCGCACCGACCCTCGCAATAATAATATTCAGGGCCTACCTTGGCTCCTCCCACCCTCAAACCAGTATATATACAAGGACTGTTTTTTTACAATTTCTCTTACTTGATACAGCTGTCGTGCTGTGACGGTTCCACCTGAAGACGGAAGCTTGTGTTGCCTCCAAAAGATTTTTATTTTATTTTTTATTTTACTTTTATTAATTTTAATTTAAAAAAATTACCTACGTGACTTTACCAAAACAACCTAAGAATATGTACGTCGTCACCGTCGTCGTACCCAGGTCGGAGTCGACGGCGTGCATGCTCGTCACCACCATCCCCACGTTGGCGTTGCTCCAGTGCAGGGCGACGGCACGGGGTGACCCCACGGGGAAGCGCGGGGCCGAGTCGTCCAGGTCCCCCACCCTCACGAGGATCTCCGCCCGGCAGGAGAGGCCACCCCCGTCAGTGGCGATCACGCCGAGCGCGTGGGCCGGGGAGGCCTCGTGGTCCAGTGGCGCCAGCGTGAAGAGCTTCCCTACGCGGGGCCACGCCCACGAGAGGCGTTCACAGGAGGTGGACGTGGGTTCGATCCCAACCCCGACGACTATGAGAGTGAGTGTGATGAGTGTTACCGCTGACGGGGTCCAAGCGGAAGAGCGTCGCTCCGGCACCGTGCAGCGAGTATCTGACGGTTCCGTTAGAGCCGGAATCGGAGTCACGGGCTGAAACGCTCAGCAGGAAGACTTGCGGGGCGATGTCCTCCGGTACAGTGATGTTGTACCACAGCTGGGGTACAGCGGAATTTTTGTGAGCCCAAAGATGTAGGAGAGCCAGTAGTCGAGGCGACACTTTAACAATAACTATAGCACAGGGTCCCTAACACACCCGCTGCCTGGGGGAGGTATGGCCTCCGGGCTACCGTGGCCTATCGACTGCGACCACGTACACTCGCAGTCCCCTGGCTAGGGGCCCTAGGGGGAGGCTACTTTGACCCGCTGACCCAGCCAAGGTCCTTGGTACCGACCACTTGCCCTCACAGCCCTGGCCCTTACAACGACAGTGGGTCTGGGGGTTCCCAGGGTCCTACTCTAAGCCCAGTCTTCAGTCTTCAACTTGAGAACTGGGGAACCCATTCAGGGGTCCGGCTTTTAGTCACCTCCCAGGGTCTCTCCACCCCTGGCCACGCCTTCCTTCCAGAGTGTTCCAGGGGATCCTAGAATATTCCCGCAGCCCCCCTATTGGGGTCTGCGGAACCCCGGTGGCCCACAAACCACCCCCTACTGGCGTCTGTCCACTCGTGCAGGCAAGTATACTACTATATTTTGCCACTGGTAAAAGAGGTTTCATAGTGTAAATGCTTACCCCGAGCTCTCAATACTCTGATATTGCACTGTGTTTGAGTTGTACGCCTTCTGGTGTAATCTGGTCCAACACCAATGGGGACTAGGCTCTAAAGAAAGCCGTCTCGGGTGTGGACCAATCAACTTCAAGGACAGTGCATATCATTATCATCATCAGAGTTGCTTCTTTTTGTTTGCATTTTTGACTACTTGTGTTGTGGTTATTGCAAACATGATGCCTTGTATAAAGGTGTCAGTTTTGTACCAGTTTAAAAGGGTAAAAACCTACTACTATAAGTATACCGTGTGTTCATGGTGTTACAGTCGGGTGGTGGTAGTAGTGGTAGTATTAGTAGCAGTGGTAGGTGGTGCAGGATGAGTCTGTGGGTCTGTGCGGCGAGTCGACGGTTACGGGTACCTTGTCACACAAGGGGCGGTTGTCGTTGACATCCAGCACGGTGACGGCCACGACGACCGTCCTCGTGAAGGTGCCGTCAGCGGCCTTCACCAGCATATGGTAGCGCTCCTGCTTCTCCCGGTCAAGCGGCCGCTCCAGACGCAGCCGCCACTTGCCCCCGCTCTTATCGGGACCGAGGGAGAAGTGGCCCAGCGGGTCGCCGCCTGCGGCCAGCGTGGACGGCGTCGAGACGGAAAGCGCGCGACGACGAAAGTCGGTTTGACGCAGAGGCTTCCGCAACCAGCTGTAAATGTAGCGGTGGGATTTGAAGCTTTCGTGACTGCAAGGATTCATAGTCTTAGGTTTTTTTTTCGGTACAGTCACCATGTAGGTAAAACATTCAAATTAATCAAAGTAAAATAAAATAAAAATCACGACGTTTCGGAGGCAACACAAGCTTCCCTCTTCAGGTGGAACCGTCACAGCCACGACAGCGTGTATCAAGTAAATTATTTTACTTTGATTAATTTTAATGTTTTACCTACGTGACTTTACCGAAAAAAAACCTAAGAATATGTAGTGGTGGGTTCACTCCGGCACAACAGGTGTACTTACGCTACACTACAAACTACCTGTCAGGTGGTACGTAAGATTCCGGTTTTGCGGCGTGGCATCCGCGTCGTCCGCCTGGATGACGGCCAACGCCAGGCCAGGCACCGCATCCTCCGGCACGCGGACGTCGATCAACGGGGCCGAGAAGCGCGGAGGGTGGTCGTTGTCATCGTTCACGGTGACGATCACCTCGGCGACGGCCGGTGCACGCTCAGGGCGGGCCGGGTCGAAAGCCTCGACGAGGAGGTGGTGCCGGTCACGGGCCTCGCAGTCCAGCCGGCTCCGCGTGCTCACCCAGCCGCTGTCGGCATCCACCGTGAAGAGTGACTCCGCTCCTCCGGCGTCGCTCTCCAGCGGCTCGACCAAGTTGTACAGCGGCCGGGCACCGCCGTCTCGGTCCGTCGCTGAGGGACGGGTGAGGGGGGGGGGGAGGATGGGGCGGTAATGCCGGTGGGCTTTCGCGAGCGACCACCGGGCACGGAATGCCCAAGCGGTCTCCCCAGCGTCAGGCAGGGTCCCCCACCTGCCCTGCCGTTTCCACGCCTCGTCCCTGCGGCCACTTCCTCCCGCCGTGATATTTTCCCAATAAATTGGTTACCGAAGAGTGGCAGCCCTACCATTTGGAGCTACCTGTGTGACCCATGGACTACTCGCTCAGAAACCCATAGACACACCACACAGACACACCACACATATACCGCTTGTGTTGACCGAGTGAGCCCAGCGCCGCACACGGCTGCGTTACCTCTCACTTGCACGAGCAGCACCCCGCCCGGTAGGTTCTCCAACACGGCGGCCTCGTAGGTGCTCGACTCAAACGCAGGCATGTTGTCTTCCACGTTCTCCACGCGCACCGTCACCGGGACCTGCGCCGTGACGTCGGCTCCGCCCCGCCGCCACGTGGCCCTCACCTCGAAGCGGTGGCTCCCCGCGGCCTCGCGGTCCAGCGCCCTCGCCACCACGATCCGCCCATCGCCGGCGACCACCGCAAACGCGCCGCCGTCCGCCACCGCGCCGCCGCCGCCGGCCACCGCGGCGTACGCGGCGATCTCGTCGCCCGCCAGCGCGGCCGCCACCGCGCCGACCTCGCTCCCCACCGCCGCGTCCTCCGCGACCGTCAGCTCGTAGGCCGCCTCGGCGAAGGCCGGCGCTGCCGAGCCGGCGGGCAGCACGGAGACCGAGGCGGGGACGGCGGCGGAGCGCCCGCCGCCGTCCACCGCCACGATGAAGAACGACAGCCGTGAACCCTCCAGGCCGGCGAGGCCGCCGCCCTTGGTGAAGACGTGGCCCGTCAGGGGCTCCACCTCCAGGACGTCCTCGGAGGCGTCCGGGTCCTGCCCCTTCCGGAGCGAGTAGACGACCGCCGCGTTGATCCCCTCGTCGCGGTCCGTGGCGGTGACCCGCAGGACCAGAGTTCTCTTGGCGGCGCTCGACGCGACGCCGCCCGAGTACTCGGCGGCAATGAACCGGGGCACGTTGTCGTTTTCGTCCGTCACGACCACCTTGACCGTGACGAAGGCCGCCCTGCCTCCACCGTCCCAGGCCTTGACGCAGATGTCCACGGCCCTCTGCAAGGGGTCTTCCCTGTCGAGGGGCGCCCTCGCGAAGATCCGCCCGCTCTCGTCGATGGCGAAGTGGTCGCGGGCGAACCGGTTCGCGATGGAGTACGATACTTGCCCAAAAGCGCCCGCGTCGGCGTCCGTGGCCCGCACCGAGGCCACCGGAGTTCCTGCTTCGGAGTTTTCGGGGATCTTGGCCACGTACTGGGCCCGCCCGAAGGTGGGGTCGTGCCGGTTGGCGGGCCGCTCGTCAACCACTACCATGGCATCGGCGACGAATGCGCCATCTGTGGCGGAGACTCGGAGGTGGTAGCGAGCGGCCGGCTTCTTCTGAGGGCGGGCGGCGACGGAGACGACGCCCGTTTCGGCGTCGATTGCGAAGTTCGCGGGGTCGTCATCACCGGAGACGATGGCGTACCGCAGCCGGTAGGCGTCCGACACGTCAACATCAAACGCCCTCAGCGCGGCCACGAAGTTCCCGGGCCAAGCTAGACTGCCCACGGACACCTCGTACAACGGCCGCTCGAACAACGGGGCATTGTCGTTCTCGTTCTTGACGGCGACGATCACCATGACATCGGATGCAAGGGGAGGCTCGCCGCCGTCTGTCGCCCTCACCGAGAAACGACGAAGCCGGCTTCGCTCGTAATCCAGGAACGCCGTGGTCACGACCAGCCCGCTGTCGGGGTCTACGTAGAATCCCTCGCCGCCCTTCTCCCCGTCGTCCACGATCTCGTAGCGGAGCGCCCGGTCGGAGCCGGCGTCGACGTCGACAGCTCTCGCATGGACGACGGAGGTCCCCGGGGGCGCAGATTCAAACAGCGTGGCGGCGTAGGTTCCCTGCGCGAAGAACGGCCGGTTGTCGTTGACGTCTCCGACGATGACATCCAGGCTCGCGTCGGCGTGCGAGCCCGTCGCCAGGGAGGCGGCTCGCACCGTGAGGCGGTGGGCGGCCCGCGTCTCGTGGTCCAGCGGGCCGACGACGCTCACGACGCCCGTGACGAAGTCGACGGAGAACTGGTCGAAGGGGTCGCCGTTGACAATGGAGAAAACGAGAGGCAGGCCCTCCGGGGCCGTCGCGCGGACGTGAGCGATCGGCGCGGGCGGCCCGACGTCCTCGGGCACCCACGCGACGTAGGAGGGGCTCTCGAACGCCGGCGCGTCTGCAGCGAGCACCGTGACCGTGACGTCGACCGCGGACGACAGCCGAGGGGTCCCGCTGTCCGTCGCCACGACGGTCACGACGAAGTCCTTGCCCGACTCGTCCGGGGTGAAGCTCTTCGTCAGCGAGACGTCGCCGCCCGAAGGGCTGATGTGAAAGCGGCCGTTGTGGTCGTCCCTCAACGAGTACCTCACCCTGGCGTTCTCGCCGACGTCCCGGTCGAGGGCCGCGACGGTGAGCACGGCGCTCCACGGCGCCGCAGTCGCCACGACAACGGCGCGGTACGGCAGGCCGACGAACGCCGGGGCGTTGTCGTTCACATCTTCGACGTGCACCTCGACCGTCGTGTGAGCGACGTCCGGGCGCGCCCGGGAGTCGCCCCTCACCTCCACCAGCAGCTCGTAGCGGTCGCGCTCCTCACGGTCAAACGCGACGCCGGTCGTCTCCAGGACGCCCGCCCTCCGCCTCATCCGGAACGCGCCGCTCGGGCTGAGCAAGCGGAAAGCCAGCGGCTCGTCGAGGTCTCCCCCCGTCGCGACGACTGTGGCCACGACGTCGACCGCTGCGGCGTTCTCGAGCACGCGCGCAGAGTACTTTGGCGGAACCCGCAGCCTGCCGCCGACCACCCACACGGAGACCTTCACCCGCGCGGCGCTCAAAAACCTCCCGTCGGACACCTCGACCCCGAGCTCGTAGCCGGCGGCGAGGAGGGAGGAGTTCCTCACCGCGACATCCCCGGTGCGCTCGTCGACGGCGAATGCGCCTCCGACGTTTCCCGAGGCGACGCGGTAGGTCAGCGCGGCGCCGACGTCCGGGTCGTGGGCCTCCAGGGTCAGCAGGCGGACGCCGGCGCGGGTCGGCACGTGCAGCGCCGTCTCGTACGCGGCCATCGAGAACGCCGGGGGGCAGTCGTTGGCGTCCAGCACGGCGACGGTCACCTCGGCCGGCACCTCAGAGGACAGACTCGGGCTGCCGCCGTCCAACGCGGCCACCCGGAAGCGGAACTCGGCCGTCGTCTCGCGGTCGAGGGCGCCGGCGGTCCTGACGGCCCCCGTGTGCGGGTGAACGGAGAAGAACTTCCTGGCTTCGTGCTCCACGATCTGATAGGCGACCGTCGCACGCCCCTCGCCGTCGTCCGCATCGGCGGCCCGGACGACGAGCGGGGCGCCGTCGGGGTCCGTGACCGCGGTTCCCGCCGGCGCCTCCTCGCCGACGGCGCCGCGGTATCGCGGGCGCTCGAAGACGGGCGCGTTGTCGTTCTCGTCGAGCATGCCGATCGACACCGACACGTCCGCCGAGAGGCTCGCCGCGTCCGTGGCCCGCACCGTCAGCCGGTACGACGGCGTCCGCTCGCGGTCCAGCGGTCGCTTGGTGGCGATGACCCCGGACGTCGGGTGGATGTCGAAGGTGCCTTGGGAATCGCCCTCCAATATTTCAAAGGTGACCATCGACCAGCCGGAGGTGCCGACCGCGAGCACGACGCTCCCGGGCGCGGCCCCTTCGGCGATCTCCGCCGAGTAGCCAACTCCACCGGAGGCGAATTTGGGGCGGGTGCCGTACACGGCGGCGGCGGCGGCGACGACGACGACGCGGACCGTGGTATTGGTGAAGCGGCGCGGGCGCCCCTTGTCCCCCGCCCTCACCACCAGCTCGTAGGCCTCCACCGCAGAGCCATCCAGCTTCCTCGCCACGGAGATGACGCCCCGCGTGCGGTGGACGGTGAAAGATTTCCCCACGTTTCCTGTCAGGGGAATTCGGAGGAATCGGATGAGCGCCAGTTCACGTCATCGAGACCAACGTGAGATGTCGAGGACAAACGACGCAGGGGAAACCGCGGCGTCCGTCTGTGATGCCGCCGCCACCGCCGCGAAGCCACTCGGCGGGCGCCCCATCTACGACCTCACCACCACCAAGCGACGGGGCCGACCCCGCTTCCCCCTCACCGCCCCCCACATAAACACACCCTCACGCATTTCCCCCCCATAGAGCTCTGAGGGGAGGTCTCCTGGCCGGCAGGTTTTCACCCTAAAGCCCTCGTAGGGATAATCGTCACGGTTTCCTGCGGCCAGGGAATTGAGCGACCTCCCCCGATGCTGGTTTGCACCGCGGCGCTGTGACCCGGGTTGAGATTGCGTGGTCACGGCGGGGGCTTTCCAACCACCACGGTTGAAACGCACCCCCCACACACACGTATTGACAAACCCTAACAGTGAATCATAGTCGGCCGGTAATAAATCATTAATAACTATATTCTTAGGTTTTTTCGGTAAAGTCACGTAGGTAAAACATTAAAATTAATAAAAGTAAAATAAAATAAAAATCACGACTTTTCGGAGGCAACACAAGCTTCCGTCTTCAGGTGGAACCGTCACAGCCACGATTGCTGTATCAAGTAAATGAGAGATTGCAGGAGCTACCACTCCGTTTATATAATGGTTGGAGAGGGGGGGGGGGGAAGGACCCCACCTGAAGACGGAAGCTTGTGTTGCCTCCGAAACGTCGTGATTTTTATTTTAGTTTACTTTTATTAATTTTAATGTTTTACTTACGTGACTTTACCGAAAAAACCTAAGAATATGAATCCTTGCAGTCACGAAAGCTTCAAATCTAGAATTCATTAATAACTATTCAAAACCTCGTGTGGTTTCGACGAGAGTGTGAACGCGCACAGTGCTGTGTGTACGTACGCTCACTGCGTGTGAGTGTTTGTGAACTGTCCAGAACGTTTGGGTCATATGCTTTTTGTCAATCTGGAGATTTCCAGATAGTCGCTAACCTTGCCCCCAAGTCTGTTGTTTAATGTTTATTTTTCATGACCTCCAGATGCTTGGCGTGGCTTGTGACGGGTAGCAGGTTGAGTGTTGGTTCTATCTGGAAATGTGCCCCCCGGTGCAGAATCTCCCCCCTGTGGGCGGGCGGGCGGGTGGGAGTGGCGGCAGCGGCGGTCACCATGTCTGATGCTGTAGCTGACGTCGGCGTTGGGGCCTTCGTCGCGGTCCAGCGCCACGACGCGCACCACGGCGGAGCCCACGGCCGCCGACTCCGCCACGAGGGCCTCGTAGGGGCCGCCGGCGAAGACGGGCGCGTGGTCGTTGGAATCGTCGACGCTCACCGTCACCGTGGCGTACGCTCGCCTCACGGGGACCCTGCCGTTCTGCACCTGCGGGTGAGAGAGAGACGGCGGGGCGGAGCGTTCGCCCCCAGACGGGAGGCTCTCGCGGCAGACAACGTCCGCAGTAGAGCGACCTGCTGGTGGCAACGTGACCGGCGCCTCGGTGTCATCCGACCGTGCCACCTCTGCCTGACACGGCCGATCGGCAAGGTTTGGCGTTGCCGAAACAAAACGCGGCGATTTGGTTACGCGGCTTGCTTACATTACTACGCAGCAAACTATCCAGCGCGCTATGGTCCCCACGCAAGAAAGTGGTCGCGGCGTCGTCGTCATCATCACCGTCGATCAGCACAGTCACGTGCACACCCGGCGCGGCGCCTCCCTCACCATGACGGTGAGCACGTGGCTCCGCTTTGCCTCTCGGTCCAGCCTCTCGGCGGCGGTGACCTCGCCGGTGACGTGGTCTACGCGGAACCGACGAAGGCTCTCCACCGCGTCACCGCCGCCCAAGCCGACGAGGAAGAAGGAGAGGCGGGCGGTGACGTCGGCGTCAGTCGCCTCCAGCCGCAGGATCGGGGCGGTGCTGGCAGACGCCTCCTCCTCCTCCGTGGCGGTCGCCTCGTAGAGGTCACGGGAGAAGCGGGGCCGGTGGTCATTCACGTCCTGCACCGTCACCACCACCTAGCGGAGGTGCGCGTGGTGGTGGTGAGTCAAGTGGCGATGCGGGTGGTGGTGGTGGTGGGGGTGAGCCAAGTGGCGATGCGGGTGGTGGTGGTGGTGGTGGTGAGCTAAGTGGCGATGCGGGTGGTGGTGGTGGTGGTGAGTCAAGTGGCGATGCGGGTGGTGGTGGTGGTGAGTCAAGTGGCGATGCGGGTGGTGGTGGTGGTGGTGAGCTAAGTGGCGATGCGGGTGGTGGTGGTGGTGGTGAGTCAAGTGGCGATGCGGGTGGTGGTGGTGGTGGTGAGTCAAGTGGCGATGCGGGTGGTGGTGGTGGTGAGCCAAGTGGCGATGCAGGTGGTGGTGGTGGTGGTGAGCCAAGTGGCGATGCGGGTGGTGATGATGGTGGTGGTGAGTCAAGTGGCGATGCGGGTGGTGGTGGTAGTGGGGGTGAGCCAAGTGGCGATGCGGGTGGTGGTGGTGGTGGTGAGCTAAGTGGCGATGCGGGTGGTGGTGGTGGTGAGTCAAGTGGCGATGCGGGTGGTGGTGGTGGTGAGTCAAGTGGCGATGCGGGTGGTGGTGGTGGTGGTGGTGAGCTAAGTGGCGATGCGGGTGGTGGTGGTGGTGAGCTAAGTGGCGATGCGGGTGGTGGTGGTGGTGGTGGTGAGTCAAGTGGCGATGCGGGTGGTGGTGGTGGTGGTGGTGAGCTAAGTGGCGATGCGGGTGGTGGTGGTGGTGAGTCAAGTGGCGATGCGGGTGGTGGTGGTGGTGGTGGTGAGCCAAGTGGCGATGCGGGTGGTGGTGGTGGTGGTGAGCTAAGTGGCGATGCGGGTGGTGGTGGTGGTGGTGGTGAGTCAAGTGGCGATGCGGGTGGTGGTGGTGGTGGTGGTGAGTCAAGTGGCGATGCGGGTGGTGGTGGTGGTGGTGGTGAGCCAAGTGGCGATGCGGGTGGTGGTGGTGGTGGTGGTGGTGAGCTAAGTGGCGATGCGGGTGGTGGTGGTGGTGGTGGTGAGTCAAGTGGCGATGCGGGTGGTGGTGGTGGTGGTGGTGAGCCAAGTGGCGATGCGGGTGGTGGTGGTGGTGAGCTAAGTGGCGATGCGGGTGGTGGTGGTGGTGGTGAGTCAAGTGGCGATGCGGGTGGTGGTGGTGGTGGTGGTGGTGAGCCAAGTGGCGATGCGGGTGGTGGTGGTGGTGGTGAGCCAAGTGGCGATGCAGGTGGTGGTGGTGGTGGTGGTGAGCCAAGTGGCGATGTGGGTGGTGGTGGTGGTGGTGAGCCAAGTGGCAATGCGGGTGGTGGTGGTGGTGGTGGTGGTGAGCCAAGTGGCAATGCGGGTGGTGGTGGTGGGGGTGGTGGTGGTGGTGAGCCAAGTGGCGATGCGGGGTGGTGGTGGTGGTGGTGAGCCAAGTGGCAATGCGGGTGGTGGTGGTGGGGGTGGTGGTGGGGGTGAGCCAAGTGGCGATGCAGGTGGTGGTGGGGGTGAGCCAAGTGGCGATGCAGGTGGTGGTGGTGGTGAGCTAAGTGGCAATGCGGGTGGTGGTGGTGGTGAGGAATTGGCGAGAGGTGATCATGCCCCCGGCACGTCTCACGCAGCTACCGCGGCAACCCTCGTGAGGTCACGTCGCCTTGACGGTCTCCACAGACAGACGCACAGACACGCGCGCGCCCACCCACCAGGGTGGTTGAAGCGTTGGTCCCGTCAGTGAGCGCGACGGTCAGCTGGTAGGAGGAGAACCGCTCGGCGTCCAGCGGCTTGGCCACCTCCACCACGCCGCCGTGCTCCGTCACGTGGAACCTGCGCTCCACGTCGCCGCCTGCCAACACGCGGCGCCCCTAGCGTCGTCATCGTCATCATCGTCATCACCATTAACACACCGTCACGATGTCACCGTTAACCCATCATCATCGTCGTCACCATTAACACACCATCACGATGTCACCTTCTTGGTTCTTTCGGTAAGGTCACGTAGAAGGGAAATAATAAAATAATAAAAATTTTACATAATAAAATGATGCCACCGTTAACCCATCATCACGATTCTAGATTTGAAGCGTTCGTGACTGCAAGGATTCATTGATACAGCGGTCGTGCTGTGACGGTTCCTAATGAAGACGGAAGCTTGTGTTGCCTCCGAAACGCCGTGATTTTTATTTTACTTTTATTTTACTTTTATTAATTTAATTTTTTCACCTACGTCACTTTACCAAAAAAACCTAAGAACGCACCGTCACGATGTCACCGTTAACCCATCGTCACGATGTCACCATTAAACACGTCATGTAGGGGTTGATTGTGCAGTGGCGCCGCGTGACCTGTGATGCTGAACCAGAGGAGTGTCCCCGTGGTCTGCGTGGACAGGGCGATCACCACGGACCCCACGGCGGCCGTCTCCACCACGGTGACCGCGTGCCGGCTCCGGGCAAAAGTCGCGGGCTTCTTCGGCGGCCGGGGATTGGAGATCCACTCCACTTGGATGGTGGCTGTCGACGACAAGGTTGGCGGTTCTCCCCGGTCCCTGGCTTGGACCTGCGGGGTGGACAACGGCGAGATCGGTGAGTTACGTTTCACGGTGGGGGGCCCTCGTGTCGAGGTCATAGCTGCTCCGCCCTCCGTTGTTGTTGTTGGAGGGCGACTGCCTCCAACTGCCCAGTAGCAGCGTCTTTCACGAGCCTCCTCCACAGAGGCCGATCTTGACATCGCTGGTACCGGTCGTCAGCAAGTCCACTCAGCTCCACGTCCTCCTGTACCACGTCACTCCGTCTCTTCTCTAGCCCCCTCGATCCGGCCGAACAAAAGCTGATTAGGCATGCGGTGTCGTGTCTGAGAGGGAGGAGGGCGCGTGTCTGAGGGGGAGGAACAGGAGGAGGGATGGGGAGGAGTGTGAGGGAGTGTGCTCAGCACCAAGATGGAGTGGAATGTCCCCGCACGGTGAGAGTTGATCTTGCTGTAGACGACTCCGTGCTCATCGGAGTAGTAATCGTTGTGCCACCCGCGGACGGTGTACGACACCGCGCCGTTGCCGTCCCGGTCGGCGTCGGCAGCGTAGACGCGTGCGATGGCCACCGCCTTGGGCTCCGTTGCCACCACGGCGTAGACGCGCGTCAGGTTGCGGTGGAAGCGTGGGGCGTTGTCGTTCTCGTCGGAGACGCTCAGCGTCACCGCCACCCTCGCTTCACGCGGGGGCGTGCCGCCGTCCATGATGGACACCTGGCGCCGGTGGGCGGGACACACAAGCACAACAACAACAACCGCCATTCGGCCACTAAGTGGCTGTGACGTCACCACGATGCTCGTGCCAGGCCAAGTGCACGTTGAGGCCACGTGAAGTGTCGAACGCCCGCCGGCACGAGGTCACGAGGCAGACCCAGCAGGTGCCACGGGTCGACTGACTGAGACGACTGGCTGATGCACAACCTGTGCCGCCTACTGTTCCCACTTGCTGTGTTTAGCCACCCGGCGCTCCGCTCGTTGTTGTGAGCGTCGCTCCTCCGCCCTCCGTTGTTGTTGGAGGGCGACTGCCTCCAACTGCCCAGTAGCGTCCTTCACGAGCCTCCTCCACAGAGGCCGATCTTGACTCCGCTGGTACCAGTCACCGGCAAGTCCACTCAGCTCCACATCCTCCTGTACCAAATCACTCCATCTCCAGTCTAGACCGTGCCTGTTTAGCCCCCTCGATCCGGCCAAACAAAAGCTGATTAGGCATGCGGTGGCTGGGCATGCGGGCTACATGACCCAGCAAACGCAGCCTTGCCTGCCAGATGAGCTCACTTTGTGCAGATCTTTCAATGATTTGTGAGCTCCTCACAATCTACCCTAATTAAACCCAGGATGGATCATAGGAAGGTCAGCCTAAATGTTTCTAACCGGCAAAGATGTTCAATTAGGGGAGGGGGTCCACATTTCACAAGCGTAGAGAAGGGTGGGAATGACTGGCCAAGAAGACCTGAAGCTTCGTGCAGAGCGACAGACCAGGTAGCTTCCACACAGCATTATGCAACCGATGAAAAGATAATGCCGCTCCACTGATTCGGAACGAGACCTCTACTGTCAAACTGAAGCCAGTCATGAGCACACTGCCAGGGTATGGGAAACTCTCCACTCTCTCCACAACTGCCCCATCACCGATTGGGAGTTGTGGGGGTGGAATGTCCAATGGTACAAAAAACCTAGACAGGTGCTTAGTTTTGGTGGGGCTGATGGTAAGGCCCCACCTCTTAGTGACACACTCCAGTCTCAGCAGTAGCGCCTCCAAGTCCTCCTCTGAGTGAGCAGCAATCACCAGATCATCGGCATACATAACGTGGTTGAGGAATAGGGAGCCATCCCTTGATCGCCCCTGGGCATCGATCAGCCTCCCATTGTATCTGTACCAGATGGAAATTCCCCCGTTACAGCTATTGAAGGTCTTCTTGGTTCTTTTGGTAAAGTCACGTAGAAGGGAAGTAACAAAATAATAAAAAATAATAAAAATAAAACATAATAAAATTATTCTCACGACGTTTCGGCCACAACGCAAGCAGCCGTCCTCAGGTGAAAACCAGGTCCGTCGAGGCGACAGAGTCTGAATGAAACAGCACACGAGCTTGGAGCATATATATAAGCTGGGCGCATTGACAAAGGAATTTGCATATCAAGAGGAATTTAGCATATTTATGGCAAATGCAGGAATGTGATTAGTACTGCATATGCATGTGCATTATGCAGGATTAACAGCATCAAAGGGAGCTGCAGTTGCTGCTGCTGCTGCAGTTGCTGCTGCTGCTGCAGTTGCTGCTGCTGCTGCAGTTTCTGCTGCTGCTGCAGTTGCTGCTGCTGCTGCTGCAGTTGCTGCAGCTATTGAAGGCTTCACGAACTACGTGGTTGAAATAGACGTTACACGATGTAGCCAGAAGACATCCCTGTCGCACCCCAATGTGTACAGGCAACGGCTCTGACTTCCGGCCACGTAGTTTTACCCGGGCCTGATCACCATCATGAAGGGTCAGGGACTCCCACCACTACCACCACCACAACTACCACCCCCACCACAACTACCACCCCCACCACCACCACCACCACCACAACTACCACCCCCACCACAACTACCACCCCCACCACCACCACCACCACCCCCACCATCACCACCACCACAACTACCACCACCACCACCACAACTACCACCCCCACCACCACCACAACTACCACCCCCACCACCACCACCACAACTACCACCCCCACCACCACCACCACAACTACCACCCCCACCACCACCACCACAACTACCACCCCCACCACCACCACCACCACCACAACTACCACCACCACCACAACTACCACCCCCACCACCCCACCACCCCACCACCACCACTACCACAACTACCACCACCACCACCACCACAACTCCCACCCCCACCACCACCCCCACCACCACCACCACCACCCCCACCACCACCACCCCCACCACCACCACCCCCACCACCACCACCCCCACCACCACCACCAGCCCCACTACCCCCACTACCACAACTACCACCCTCACCACCACCACCACCACCACAACTCCCACCACCCCCACCACCACCACCACCCTCACTGTGACCCTCACCTCCAGCTCGTGCTCCGCCTGCTTCTCTCTGTCCAGCCGCCTGCTGCTGCTGCTGGTGCGGATGACGCCTGCAACGAGTCGTCCGTTCACCGGAGGTCAACCACAACCATCCCACGCCGCCCGGCACACGCACGCGGTGGGGCGGGGGTCAACGTGGAGACGGGGCGGCGGGCGGGGGGGGGTAGCTTGTCAGTTGACAACTTAAAGACGACAAATATCTACCCCGTGATGTCAGCCTCTGTTGGGTCGCATCGTGTCAAGTGGAAATGCGTCGATAGTGAATGTCGCTGGATTTGCTCACCAACACACACGCCGGTTAGTGCTGCACTAGCGTAATAAACGATAATTGGTTTTTTACCCTTCTATCTGGCAACAAAACTGACACCTTTTTACAAGGAGTCATGTTTGTATAGACCGCAATACCTGCAGTCATAATGCAACAAAAAACATAACTCTGATAATGTATGCACTGTCCTTGAAGTTGATTGGTCCTCACCCGAGACAGCTTTCTTTAGGAACCAATTATCATATTTTTACTGGCAAATGAGGTTCCCATAGTGTAATAAATGACTTTGACGACGACGAACGTTGACTGGCGTCTTTATTTATTTCCGTGTCGGCTGGACAGCTCCCCGCCCCTTCGTGTAATAACCGTTCATTCTTCGCTGCACGGCGAATGTTCACGTTGTTCCACGTACGCCGGCGTTGCGAAGGTCCCGCTCCAAGATTTCCCGATGGTTCCCCCGCGAGCACCCTTGAGCTCCCCCCCTCAACTTTGGCCCAGACAATCCCACTTCACTTGACTGGCTTGTGGCTGATGCAGCGGAGCCTATCGAGCCAGCCGGTTGGAAACCGCCGGTCTACTCTCTTATTGCACCCGTAACGAATTGGCACGTTCTGTAGTGTATGCAAATTTCGATTTAAAGCTTTCGTGACTGCAGGGATTCATCTTCTTGGTTCTTTCGGTAAAGTCACAGCTGCTTGCGTTGTGGCCGAAACGTCGTGAGAATTATTTTATTATGTTTTATTTTTATTATTTTATTACTTCCATTCTACGTGACTTTACCGAAAGAACCAAGAAGATGTATGCAAATTCTTTTGTGAAGGCGCCCTTCCCCCCTCCATCCCAGCTTAAATAGTCGCTCCAAGTCTGGGGTGTGTCATTTAGACTCTGTCTACTCGACAGACCTGCTCTCCACCTGAGGACGGCCGCTTGCGTTGTGGCCGAAACGTCGTGAAAATAATTTTATTATGTTTTATTTTTATTATTTTTTATTATTTTATTATTTCCATTCTACATGACTTTACCGAAAGAACCAAGAAGATGAATCCCTGCAGCCACGAAAGAAGCTTTAAATCGAAATGCAACGTTCTGTAGTGTATAGTAGTAGTAGTGCCGTGCATCATAGTGTAGCCGGAGGGCTCGGGGTTCAGTGTTCAGCTTTAACCAGCGAAGCAAGAAGAGCGGCTAGATAGGCCCTGGGACTCCCCTGGATCGCTGTCCTTCTCAGGAGCGACCAGGGCAAGCCAGCGGCGTGGCCCCCAGAGCCCAGAGCCAATGCTCTTATAAGAGCCGGTCTGGGGACTCAGGGTGCCGTGATCCCAGCTTAACCAGAGCTGGATCAGCTAGCCTCCCCTAGCTCCGTAGTGGAGGACCTGGGAGTAGGCTGGCCGGGATAGAGATCGTGTGATCTCCCTGTTAGACGGGTGAAGGGGCCGGTCTGGTGACTCAGGGTGCCGTAATCCCAGCTTAACCAGAGCTGGGTCAGCTAGCCTCCCCTAGCCCTGTAGTGGAGGACCTAGGAGTAGGCTAGCTGTGACGTAGAGTGTGTGAATCTCCCTGTTAGACGGGTGAAGGGGCCGGTCTGGTGACTCAGGGTGCCGTAATCCCAGCTTAACCAGGGCTGGGTTAGTAAGCCTCCCCTAGCCCGGTAGTGGAGGACCTGGGAGTAGGCTAGCTGTGACGTAGATTGTGTGATCTCCCTGTTAGACGGATGAAGGGGCCGATACCCCTTCGAGTGTCGTACATCTCGGCCTGTAATCTACACTGTGGTTAATAAATAAGTGTGCCTCCAACTACGTCGTCCAAGTCTCCTGGAACCTACTACAACCGTGTAGTGTACACTCTACACGACATTCTCCGCCCCCCCCCCCCCCCCCCACCTGTTGTGCGGTTTATGGTGAAGAATCCCTGTGGGTCTCCGCTGACGATGTTGAACGCGAGGCCCCTGCTGCGGGCACCCACATTGTCCAGGTCCCAGGCGTCCACTTGCACCACCCGGACGCCCCCATCGGAGTTCTCCGCCACGGAGGCCTGGTACCACGGACGCGACGCCTGCGGGGGGTTGTCGTTCACGTCCTGGGGGGGGGGGGAGGTGTAGTGTATATAGACCTTTCGATTTAAAGCTTCTTTCGTGACTGCAGGGATTCATCTTCTTGGTTCTTTCGGTAAAGTCATGTAGAAGGGAAGTAATTAAAGAATAAACATAAAACATAATAAAGTAATTATCAGATAATAATAAAATAATAAAAATAAGCATAATAAAATGATTCTCAGATAATTATTTTATTATGTTTTATTTCTATTATTTTATTATTATCTGAGAATTATTTTATTATGTTTTATTTTTATTATTTCCCTTAATTCTCAGATAATTATTTTATTATGTTTTATTTATTTTATTTTATTATTATCTGAGAATTATTTTAGTATGTTTAATTTTTAATATTTTATTATTTCCCTTCTACGTGACTTTACCGAAAGAACCAAGAAGATATATAGGCCTTTTTCCAGAAATGTATATTAAGAATTATTCTTCGATTTAAAGCTTTCGTGACTGCAGGGATTCATCTTCTTGGTTCTTTTGGTAAAGTCACGTAGAAGGGAAGTAATAAAATGATAAAAATTAAACATAATAAAATAATTCTCACGGTGAGATTTGAATTTGGAGACCTAACATAAACACACTAAGACAATCGGTAAATATTGAAGTGAGAATAATTGTATTTTCCCCATTGATAATATAACTCGAGACAATGAGGCTGAGCCTAATTATCATAACTGCACACATTAGCATAAGCACATGCATTTTCCCAATGCAATTACACTTCGTAATTAGCATAAATTACGTGTATAATTGCATAAATATTTTCGGATACTTATAGATTTTTTTTTTCCATTTAATATTATTTCGTATCAATTTTTCAAGACCTGACACATACAACAGGGGGCAGAACGACGCAACGTACGTGCGAGTTTCCGTACCTGCACCTCCACGTAGACGTGCAGCGTGGAGAAGCGAGGGACGACTCCGCGGTCCGTAGCGCGAACCGCCAGCCAGTAGCCGCTCACAGCCTCGCGATCCAGCGGCTGCGCCGTGACGATCATCCCTGTCGGCGCGGAACGACACGCACGGCACGAGATGGGCGCCGGCGCGAGCCGTCAGCCGGCGTCGCGAGCCGTGAGGATGTTGATGACGGGGCGGGGGAAGAGTAGTGGTGGTAGTAGGTGTGGTTTACCATTCTCAGGATGAATGCTGAAGACGCCCAGGCTGGAGTCGTCAATGAGGGAGTACCGCACCTCCCCGTCCAGCCCCTCGTCCTCGTCCGTGGCCGTGACGGCGATGACGACGGCCCCCACGGGGGCATCCTCCCGCGTGGCGGCGGCCATCGCGAACTCCGCGAACCGCGGGGCGTGGCCGTTCTCGTCCACGTCCGCCACCTCCACCGTCGCCCGGCAGGCGGCCGAGGGCGGCGGCCCCGCCGGGTCGCCGTCGCGCGCGGCCACCTTCAGCTCGTAGCGGCGGCGCCTCTCGAAGTCGAGCGGCCGCGCCACGCGCAGGGCCCCGCTCGTCTCGTGCACCCAGAACGCGTCGCCCCCGTCGCCCCCCTCGCCCGGCGGCAGCGAGTAGCGCACCTCCCCGGCCGGCCCCAGGTCGGGATCGCGAGCGTCCAGCCAGCCGAGGACGGCCCCCACGGGGACGTCCTCGGGCACGCGGAGACGGAGGGGGCCCGGCGGGCAAGCAGGCGCGTGGTCGTCGACGTCCCCCACCGTCACGGTCACCGCGGCGACAGAAGAGAGGCGGCTCTTGGGCGCCAGGTCCGACGCCTCCACCAGCAGCGCGTGGCCGGCCTGCCGCTCGCGGTCCAGCGGCGCCGCCACCAGCAGGGCGCCCGTCTTGGCGTCGACGCGGAAGAGGTCGGTGCCGGACAGCAGGCGGTAGCGCACTGCGCCCGCGGCGCCCTCGTCGCGGTCGGCGGCCTCCAGCCGGAGCACCTCGTGGCCTGGCCGCGCGCTCTCCGGCACCCGGGCCGCGTAGACGCTCCGCGAGAACTCCGGCGGGTTGTCGTTGACGTCCAAGACGGTGACGCGGAGGGTGGCGCTGGCCGAGCGCCGCGGCGTGCCCAGGTCGCGGACGACGACGTTCCCGAGGTAGGACGCGGCGGCCTCGCGGTCCAGCGGGAGCAGGACCCTCACGACGCCCGTCTCCGCGTCGACGGCGAAGCCGCTCGCCCCGTCGTGGTCCATCAGTGTGTACAGCAGCGTACCCTCGAAGCCGTCGTCGGGATCCGTGGCCTCCATTCGGGCGACCTCAGCCCCGACGGGCAGGTCCTCGCGGACTTCGACGGTGACTGCCGGGGCGGCGAACGCCGGCGCGTGCCGATTGACGGCGCTTGCGGCGACGGGGCGGTTTCTCCGTTGGTTTGCCCGGTGGATCCTCTCGGCAATCTTGCGGGCGATCCCTGTCTCGGCGCATCGCCACGACGGCGCACGTCCGGGAGCGGCGTCCACGACCGAGACGTTCAGGTACGCCGTCTCCGCCAAGAGCTCCCCGTCGGTGGCTGTGAGGCCCAGACGGAAGGCCCCCGCCGGCCCGACGGCGACGTCGGCGAGGGAGCGTGCCAGCGTCACGACGCCGAGGGCGCCGTTCATCGAGAAGAAGCCGCCCTCGTTCCCGGTCGCGATGCCGTAGAACGTTGGCCGGAGCTCGTCGGCATCGATGGCCGACGCGGTGAAAATCTTCTGGCCTGGCCGGAGGTTCCGGGGGATCTCACCGACGCAGTCCACAGACTCGAAGACGGGCGCGTTGTCGTTCACGTTGGCGACGTGGACCGTCACGGTCACCTCGGCCTCCCGGCGGAACGGAGTCCCCCAGTCCGAGGCTCGCACGCGCAGCCAGTAGACCCCCGCCGTCTCCTCGTGGTCCAGCGGCCCCGTCGTCACGACGATGCCCGTGCGGGGGTCAACGGCGAAGGGGCCGGGCTCGGTGTCCGCTAGGCCGTACGTCACGCGGCCGTTGTCGCCCTCGTCCTCGTCAGCGGCGTGCACGATGATTACGAAGGCGCCCGCCGGGACGTCTTCGCTCAAAGAGGCGGAGTAGTTGTGCCGCTCGAACGCCGGGGCGTGGTCGTTGTAGTCCACGACGTCAATCGCGACCCTGGCGACGCGCGAGCCGGCGTCGGTCCCGACGTCGAACTCGAAACGGCGTCTGTCGACCGCCGTCAGGTGCTTACGGACGGAGACGACCCCGGTGGCGGGGTTCACGGCGAAGAAGTCGCCGTCGGCGCCGCCTCGGACGACGTATCGGCAGCTCCGCGCGCCGCAAGAGGCTCTGACCGCGAGCACGACGGCGCGGGGCGGAGACCGCCGCTCGACGGCGCCCGCGTAGACGCGCCGCTCGAACGCGCCGGCGGCGCCGCCCCCCCGGACCGTAACCGTGACGGGCTGCGAGTACCTGGGCGGCCTCCCCCCGTCGCGAGCCTGCACGGTGAGGTTCACCCCAAAGGGGAAGTCCGTCCAGTCCAGCCGTCCCGAGAGCCTCACCGCGTAGGCCGAGGCAGGGCCGGCGCCGTCCGTCGGGGCGACAGGAGAACGCCTGGAGGGGATTGCCGGCGACGATCTCCACCGCGCGGATCTCCCCCTCGGGGCCGGCGTCGTGGTCCTCCGCCGCCAGCTCTGCGTACGCGGCGGCGGCGTGGTTGGCGATCGATGCCCGCGGCTCGCGGCTCGCGACGACCGCGACACGCGGGGCGTGGGCGTTGGCCCGGCTCACGTTCACCGCGACGCGTGCCGAGCTGTTCAGCCCACCGCTGTCGACGGCCAGCACCGTCAGCTCGTGCAGTGCCACGTCGCCGGGCTCCACCAGGCTCCTGGCGATCATCACCGCGCCGCTCGTCGGGTGCACGGCGACCACGTCCGAGCGCTGCGCCAGCGAGTAACGGAAGCGCCTGTTGGGGCCTTCGTCGGCGTCCGTGGCGGCGACGCGGAGGACGACGGTGCCCGCCGGGGCGTCGTCGGCAATGCTCGCGGCGTACGACGCCGCCGAAAACAGCGGTCTCTGGTCGTTGCGGTCCATCACCTGGACGAAGACGGTGGCAAACGCCGAAGCGTGGCCGTTCTTGGTAAAGGCCTTCACCCGCAGCGTGTAGGCGCCGCGCCGCTCGCGGTCCAACGGCACGTTCCCGGCGCGGATGCGCAGGAAGCGAAAGTCGCCCACGACAAGTCCCTCCGCCTTAAACGCGGCCGCCTCGTCCCCGGACACGATGGCGTACCGGGCCCCGGAGGCCGAGCGGTGGACGTAGATCCCCATCTTGTCATGGCTCTCCACGCACGTGCCGGGCGCCGAGTTCTCATAGATGGAGGCGTTGTAGGATAGGCTGGTGAAGCGCAAGGGAGGCTTCGGCCGGACCCGTCGCCCGGCGAGGCATCTGCTGCACGGTGGCAGCAGCAGCAGGAGCAGCAGCGGGAGGAGCACCGAGACCATCGTGTCGGGCGTCAGGCTCCGCGCCCGAGAGCCTGACGACTACACGGAGCCACGGTCGGAGAGGTGGGCGCCGCCAAAGTCCGAGTTCATTCGGCGCTCCCAATGGGGTGTCGGTCCTCCTCCTCTAACGTGTCAGATCAAGACCAAATACAAACAAAGGCAAGGCTCATTCCTAACAGCGTGCTTTCAGCCGCACCGAACCTCACAACAATAATATTCAGGGCCTACCTTGGCTCCTCCCACCCTCAACCAGTATATATACAAATACTGTTTTCTTCACCGCATCAAAGGGACGATGGACGGGGCCATGTACCGTCAAATCTTGGGTGAGAACCTCCTTCCCTCAGCCAGGGCATTGAAAATGGGTCGTGGATGGGTATTCCAGCATGACAATGACCAAAAAAACACGGCCAAGGCAACAAAGGAGTGGCTCAAGAAGAAGCACATTAAGGTCCTGGAGTGGCCTAGCCAGTCTCCAGATCTTAATCCCATAAAAAATCTGTGGAGGGAGCTGAAGGTTCGAGTTGCCAAACGTCAGCCTCGAAACCTTAATGACTTGGAGAAGATCTACAAAGAGGAGTGGGACAAAATCCCTCCTGAGATGTGTGCAAACCTGGTGGCCAACTACAAGAAACGTCTGACCTCTGTGATTGCCAACAAGGGTTTTGCCACCAAGTACTACACTGTAAAAACCGAGACTGGGGTTAATTAATGTTTAGTAAATATATAAGAGTAGCCTATACATAAAAATAAAGACTATATGCAGTTTGTAATCACATTGAACTGAATTCAACACATTTCTATTATTTATTAATTGTATTTTACTCAGTTTTGTTCGAATAACATCAGCCATCAATAACTGAGTAGAATTTTATTGTATTTTATACTAATCGGGAGGTTTTTGAATTTAATAACGTTACACTTCCGCCCCAACTCAAGGCGTTTTTTCACGCCACGTGCATGTCAACCATCTTCTTCCACAGACACGTTTCAGGGACCGCCGTTCTCCCAAAGGTAAGACATGTTTAATTATTTTAACGAACAATTTTTTAACAAACTTGTGGTAGCAGTTGAACATTGTTTTACGTTACTGCAAGTTACCAGCATGCCAATTTAACTGGCTGTAACGTATATCAGAATTAATTAGCACAACTCTACATTTGAAGCTTTCGTGACTGCAAGGATTCATACTCTTAGGTTTTTATCTTTCGGTAAAGTCACGTAGGTAAAAAATAAAATTAAAAGTTAATAAAAGTAATAATGGGAATAAAATAAAATAATAAATCACGACGTTTCGGAGGCAACACAAGCCTCCGTCATCAGGTGGGACCGTCACAGCTAAAATTATTGCATCACTTGATGCAGTAATTTGCATCAAGTGATGCAGTAACAGCTAAAATTACTGTGACGGTCCCACCTGATGACGGAGACTTGTGTTGCCTCCGAAACGTCGTGATTTATTATTTTATTTTATTTCCATTATTACTTTGATTAACTTTTAATTTTATTTTTTACTTACGTGACTTTACCGAAAGAAAAAAACCTAAGAGTATGAACTAGCACAACGTTAGGCCTTTCGAAGTCAGTCTGATTCGACTAAAAGCACGAGACTATAATTTTTGTTCCGCACACGAAAAAGTAACGTGCGTGATTAAAACTAGACCATATTCATTCGGATCACGGCGCGTACCGAACCAAAAGTCCTGTATAGTACCTGCCAAACTCGGAAGCAACGGTGTTCCTGCGGTGATGTGCAATTCACTGACGCGCAAGAGCCCTGCAGATCAGAAGTTTGCAAAGAGTGTAAAATAGCCTAGAAAGGCCGAAGTGAACTACCTCCCCCGTTACCCGGTAGGAGAGGATGAAGAGAGTCAAGGACAAGAGCGGATTCAGTTGCACTACGAGACATCTCCTTTACCAGTGGCAAAATATAGTAGTAGGTTTATACCCTTTAAACTGGTACAAAACTGACACCTTTATACAAGGCATCATGTTTGCAATAACCACAACACAAGCAGTCAAAATGCAAACAAAAAGAAACAACTCTGATGATGATAATAATATGCACTGTCCTAAATATAAATCACTTTTCCTTGTAAAATCTATTTGGATTTACACTATTTTTGTTAGGCTATATAACTCATCATTTGGCATGCTATTACTAAATCCAACACATTTTAACTGTTGCTTTCAATACCATGTACTTATTTTTTATTTTAAAAAAATAGTTAATTTATTCAATACTTTTTATTTTTTTTAAGTAACAATGGGTCACATATTTTACAGTGTAAGTGATGTTTTGCAGAGGGGGTCAAATACTTATTTCCCTCATTAAAATGCAAATCAATTTATAACATTTTTGACATGTGTTTTTCTGGATTTTGTTGTTGTTATTCTGTCTCTCACTGTTCAAATAAACCTACCATTACAATTATAGACTGATCATTTCTTTGTCAGTAGGCAAACGTACAAAAGCAGCAAGGGATCAAATACTTTTTCCCTCACTGTACGTGATAGTAGCAGTGGTAGTAGCAGTGGTAGTAGTGCTGGCAGTGGTGGTCGTAGTAGTGGTGGTGCTAATGACAGCAAGTGATAGTAATAGTCGTGGTGGTAGTAATGGTAGTGGTGGTGGCTGTGGTAGTGGTGGTGGTAGTAGTTGGTAGTGGTGGTGGCTGTGGTCGTGGTGGTGGTAGTAGTTGGTAGTGGTGGTGGCTGTGGTAGTGGTGGTGGTAGTAATGGTAGTGGTGGTGGCTGTGGTAGTGGTGGTGGTAGTAGTTGGTAGTGGTGGTGGCTGTGGTGGTGGTGGTAGTAGTTGGTAGTGGTGGTGGCTGTGGTGGTGGTAGTAGTTGGTAGTGGTGGTGGCTGTGGTGGTGGTGGTGGCTGTGGTGGTGGTGGTAGTAGTATTGGTAGTGGTGGTGGCTGTGGTGGTGGTAGTAGTAATGGTGGTGGTAGTAATGGTAGTGGTGGTGGCTGTGGTAGTAGTGGTGGTAGTAATGGTAGTGGTGGTGGCTGTGGTGGTGGTAGTAATGGTAGTGGTGGTGGCTGTGGTCGTGGTGGTGGTGGTAGTTGGTAGTGGTGGTGGTAGTTGGTAGTGGTGGTGGCTGTGGTAGTGGTGGTGGCTGTAGTAGTGGTGGTGGTCGTGGTGGTGGTGGTAGTTGGTAGTGGTGGTGGCTGTGGTCGTGGTGGTGGTAGTAATGGTAGTGGTGGTGGCTGTGGTCGTGGTGGTGGTGGTAGTTGGTAGTGGTGGTGGTAGTTGGTAGTGGTGGTGGCTGTGGTAGTGGTGGTGGCTGTAGTAGTGGTGGTGGTCGTGGTGGTGGTGGTAGTTGGTAGTGGTGGTGGCTGTGGTCGTGGTGGTGGTAGTAATGGTAGTGGTGGTGGCTGTGGTCGTGGTGGTGGTAGTAATGGTAGTGGTGGTAGTTGGTGGTGGTGGTAGTAGTTGGTAGTGGTGGTAGTAATGGTAGTGGTAATTGGTAGTGGTGGTAGTAATGGTAGTGGTGGTGGTAGTTGGTAGTGGTGGTGGTAGTTGGTAGTGGTGGTGGTAGTTGGTAGTGGTGGTGGTAGTTGGTAGTGGTAGTTGGTAGTGGTGGTGGTGGTAGTTGGTAGTGGTGAGTGACGTAACCACTTACCTGCAGAGAGACAGAGGCGGTGGCACGCTGAGTGAGTGTGGGTCTCCAAACGCGTTGTAGTGTGGGGGGGAGACGGGGGGGGGGAGACGGGGGGGGAGAGACGGGGGGGGGGAGACGTGGGGGGGGGGAGACGGTGGGGGGGGAGACACGGGGGGGGAGACGGTGGGGGGGGAGACGGGGGGGGAAGAGACGGGGGGGAGAGACGGGGGGGGGGAGACGGGGGAGAGACGGGGGGGGAGAGACGGGGGGGGGGGAGACGTGGGGGGGGGGAGACGTGGGGGGGGGGGAGACGTGGGGGGGGGAGACGGTGGGGGGGGGAGACACGGGGGGGGAGACGGGGGGGGAGACGTGGGGGGGGAGACGGTGGGGGGGGAGACGGGGGGGGAGAGATGGGGGGGGGGGACACGGGGGGGGAGAGACGGGGGGGGACACGGGGGGGGGGGGAGACGTGGGGGGGGGACGGGGGGGAGATGTGGGGGGGGGGAGAGGGGGGGGGGGGGAGACGGGGGGGGGGGAGACGTGGTGGGAGACTTAAAATGTCACTGCTCAACAATTGTGTGCGTCGCCAAGCATGCAGCAGTGTGTGTGTGTCTGACCTGGGACCGCTCGCTCTGCGTGTCCCCGTTTCACCTCCCAGAGTGGTGACACAGCTGCATGTCCCAGTTTCACCTCCCAGAGTTGTGACACAGCTGCGTGTCCCGGTTTCACCTCCCAGAGTGGTGATACAGCTGCGTGTCCCGGTTTCACCTCCCAGAGTGGTGACACAGCTGCGTGTCCCGGTTTCACCTCCCAGAGTGGTGACACAGCTGCATGTCCCAGTTTCACCTCCCAGAGTAGTGACACAGCTGCATGTCCCAGTTTCACCTCCCAGAGTTGTGACACAGCTGCGTGTCCCGGTTTCACCTCCCAGAGTGGTGACACAGCTGCATGTCCCAGTTTCACCTCCCAGAGTGGTAACAGCTGCATGTCCCAGTTTCACCTCCCAGAGTTGTGACACAGCTGCATGTCCCAGTTTCACCTCCCAGAGTTGGGACACAGCTGCGTGTCCCGGTTTCACCTCCCAGAGTGGTGACACAGCTGCGTGTCCCGGTTTCACCTCCCAGAGTTGTGACACAGCTGCATGTCCAGTTTCACCTCCCAGAGTGGTGGCACAGCTGCGTGTCCGGTTTCACCTCCCAGAGTGGTGATACAGCTGCGTGTCCGGTTTCACCTCCCAGAGTGGTGACACAGCTGCGTGTCCCGGTTTCACCTCCCAGAGTGGTGACACAGCTGCGTGTCCCAGTTTCACCTCCCAGAGTGGTGACACAGCTGCATGTCCCAGTTTCACCTCCCAGAGTGGTGACACAGCTGCGTGTCCCGGTTTCACCTCCCAGA